GAGGGGAAGAAATACAAGATGTACAAAATGCGGGACAGACGTAGAAACACCTACTACATCACGTGGAAGGACATGTGATATAGAAAACGCATGGTATGTGCCACGCGGTTTGAGCACGTGATTTATCAGAGTTAACTCCGACCTCTATATCTGGCTGGGGTGGTCTTCCCGACAATTAGGGTAGGTAGGTTTTCCTACAACTTTCTTAATGCAAACTTTAAATTCATGGCCTTGTCCGCATTTCACACATCGAGACAGAGAAAAGTAATATTTTTCGGTGTCCGAATGAATAACATCTGAAGCATTGACAATTCTGTCGTTCAAGGCCTGTTTATTGTGCATACATCCCTATTTATATGTAATGTGATGGAAGAAGAAAAAAACTGTTTGGGAACCTTACTAAAAAAAGTTAAGGTCACAAGGTTTCTTGTGTCCAAAGGCAATGCAATCATAACTTTCCATCTCACAGTTGTCATTATTATTGTTATGGCCTACAGGAGTGGAATGCGTGAAAAGCAGTGATCAGCGCTAAATGATTATCTCATCCTAACCTTACATAAACCGGCTCACTTTTCAGTAATATATACTATAAATTTTATTTGTTTATAACCTTAAGAAAATCTACGTAAAGATCGGAAAGGTATATTCCCCTTAGCCAACCAACTAGCTTGTAGGTGCTGGCGCACTAAAGAAGTCTTTTAAAGTTTAAGAAGCTCTGTAATTTCAAGTTGTAAAGTAGCTTTGTCCAGTCTTATTATAAGATTAGTCATCACCTGGAAATGAGGTAAATTTCAGTAAAATAATCCAAATTACCAAAAAAACACCAAATATAAATACAAAAAAGTAACAGTAGAAATAATATCAACATACTGATTGACCTTTTTTTTTTAAACATAACCTTAGAATTTTATATAATTTACATAACTTAAAAATTATATAAAGTTTTTCAACTTAAAATTACAAGGTAAACCATTAATCTTTTAAATTTTTTTAACGCAATTACCCCAATCAAAATTTTTACAAAAGCAGTATACAACTACTTTAAAAGAAACCTGCACCTCCTTTAAGAATACTCATAATAAAGAAAAACTTACTCAGAAAGTAATTCGACCAGTCAGCAAGAAGAGCTAAGAATCTGCCGCTGACATGAAGCCAAAGTTAAAAGATTATGAGCATTATTTAAATAACACACGAACCACCATTTCGGCAATGGCAAGAATATTAAACGATCTTTTAAGTCTTTATGATGACCTCTCATCGTCAGCTTATATATGTTCGCATGTTATTTTGGCACGCGAGAGTCTTTTATGCAACAGAAAAGAATTTCAAAACTTTCTTAATTGTCAGAAAATTGATATTGCTTAATAAGTGAGGCCCACTTAAAGCCAGAACATCTTTTCAATTTTTCCCAATCACTTGCTTTACCAGCATGACAGGCCCTACACGAGAAAAAGGAGGAGCAACCATTATTAAAACGCAGATGGCTCACTCATTAATACTGCTTGTCAACTCAAATTTTATTGGAGCAGTGGCTGTCAAGATCAATTTTTAAGGTCAAGAGGGCTTGGTAATCGTTTCTGCATATAAGTCTCGAGACTACCTTTGTTACCTAAAGATCTGGACCTTATTTTGGTTAGTATTCCCACAAAAAGTGAAGGCCCACCTTAAGGGGGCAAGAAAATCTTTTATTAAGGTTCGAAAGTGGGAAATCCTAACGGACTTGAACTCTAAACTACGCTAAAAAAAGAGAATTCTTTTGTTTCCGGTTCTTTAGAACCGAGACATACATCTACAAAAGGGATCTCAGATGGACTTGGCCTTACAAAAAACATACTAATTAACTTAACCACGCTAGTGTGTTTCTGCGGTTTACGAATTTGGCTATCAAGAGTTTAGCACTTGAATTACATAGGGAGGTATACGAACTGGAATAAATTTAAAAAAGTGATTGCGGAAGCAGTCGAGGAAAATCTAATAACTTTGGTTCTATCAGTTACCCTCAACGATCTACAATTATCTAAGCACATAAAACGGCTTCCGTTAAAGTAACGTCCTCTTCGCGTAAAGCATGCTTACCTGAGGGAAATGAATATTTCCTCAACTTAAGAAGGTGGCAAAACGTAAATACGTAACCTTCAGGATCCCGAAGAGAATTCTTAACAAACTTGACAAAAAAGTCAAATAACGCCTTATTAATATGCGCAATGAAACTTTTGAATGTTGCCCAACTTAAAAATTCGAGATACCCAACGTTCTACTGGCTATTTGTCAAATCTATAAGAAATCGAAAAAACCTCATCCTTCTGCCCTTAAGACAGAAACCGACCTATGACTACAAAGTTAAGATGGATATGTTCGTGTAAAGTTTATTTAGTCACTGCATAACTACTAAAGAAGTAGCTCCTGAGACTGAAAATAGCCCTACTCGCAGTAAAAGTTCATAAAATATAACTTGCAAATATACCGATACGAAAGAAGTGTGATCAATTATAAACCTTTGTGAACTTAAAAAACACCAGGTCTTGATGGCGTAAACAATGATATGCTTAAACACTTGCCGAGACAGCAATATCAGCCTTAGTTACACTTATTAACAATTTTTTTGAGTCACGTACATTTCTTGAAGAATGGAAAACGACAGCAGTCCTGTGCATTCCTAAATTAAATGTGGGTTCTTCATATTCTAAAGAAAGCGCCCTATAAACCTTTTGTCATGTACTGGCAAAATAGTTGAAGCTGTAACACTTGGATGTATGCGAAAGTTTGTGGAGAGTACTGGTTGTATACCAGGGCTTCAGTTTGGCTTTCGGGTGGCCGCTATACTACGCAGCAGCTTTTCCGTTCCTCCGAGCACGTTACAAAAGGGTTTAATAACAATAAGTCGACATGTGCATTATTTTTAGAAGTCGAAAAGCTTCCGACAGGGTATGGCACGCTGTGCTTTTAATGAAACTACCTATTCTGAAGCTAGCAGGTTATCTTCATTTGCTTCTTCAGGCTTATCTGCACCAAAGAATATTTTATGTCAAAGTGGGAAAAGCTAGCTCATCTTTAAAAGAATTGGCTATGAGCCCCACAAGGCTCGCTGCTGACCCCCATCTCATGTGGTTTTAAAAAACAAGTCGGACATACCCAGATCTGAGTCTATTTTTTTTGTCACAGTTTGCGGACGGCACCTGTCTATGCCTGCTCCAAATCTCCCTCTGGTTTTAAAACGTTTAAAGGTATGTTTCCCCACCTGAGGTATGGATTGATAAGTGGCGAATTACAATCAACCCCCTTAAGAACGAAGCTATCCAAGAGGAGATATAAAACGACAACATACACAGAAGCCACTTGGTTGTTTAGATTGACAAGCAATCTCGTGGTGCTATCACGTTTGACTACCTCATCAACAAAGCGAAGTTAATTAATAATTAAAGAACTTTATCCCCTCTTGTGTAAAAGGAGTTCTTTCTCAATAAGTAACAAACTTAAGCTTTATTTGCATATTATACGGCCGACTTTGACTTAGGCAGCCGTGGCGTGGTCGCATAGCAGTCAACTAAACATAAAGCGAATTCAAGCGGTTCATGATCGACTGTTGCGAATAATTACAGGTGCCCCATGGTTTGTCTGGGGTGTCCACTTGCATCGTGACTTTAAGTTGGAAACGCTTCTTGAACATTTTTCGTCACATTTCTGTGAAGAGTTATCATCCAACGATTTATTTATTTGAGACATAACCTATGACGCGAATACTTACACTCATTGTAGGATGCCACAACGCCCTCTCACTGCCCTAACGGCCTCCCGGGCATAGAGGATATATTTAAAATTGTGAATTAGATTAAACAGTATAAAAGTCCTCTTCTAATCTTGACCTGACTGTAGTATAGTATGTCAACTTCATAAATAAAAATATTTAAAACACAAAAAAGTTTATTTTACTCTACTAGAATACTTCATTTTTTGGCTACAATAGATCCTAAAAGCCTAAAAATTGATAAATTTTTCTCTATTTTAAAGGTTTAGTTCAATTTAAAAACAGGTTTGTTTGCGAATTTTTGTTGCTATCCGTGGAAAATTAGAACTAACCTGTCAAGTCTTAGCTTTGGGGAGATAGTAAAAGATGATAAAAGGCAAAAAACTACATATTTTTATTTTAAACATGCATATGTTAGCTAATATAATAACCTTCATACGACTGAGCTAAAGTTGGCTTATTACAAAACGCTTACTAAAATTTAAGCCTATAAATTTTGTTCTGAATCCCCCCTCCTATGATCTGCCTACTAGAGTGGTTCCTAAAAGCCTTGCGTCCTGTTTTTTTCTATTTCTTTTACGAAGACTCCCAACGCTTTACTGACATGTTAATTGTTTTATTATTGCTCTAGTAAAGATAACTGGCTAAATAATACAAGATGGTTAATCAATACATGATTACCTTATAGACGGGAGTTAAAATAATTGGTCGGAGCAGATTGTGGAACTGTTATTATGCGAAGCTCAACCGCCCTTTCTTCTTATAATTATTTCAATAAGCCGTATATTTGAGGCGTAATTATTTCCTCTTACTACTACATATTATTTTCATATAAAATAATTTTAAAAAAAAGAGGCTTTCCCTTACTAGCTGGTAGAATTTCCTTCGCTTAAGGCTTGAATGGGGATAAAATGTCCTCTTTAGATCAGAGTTGTAACATATTTTAACAACGTAGATAAAAAATGTAATTAGTAAACTAGTAGTTCTGTATTTGCTTATTTTTCTCGAATTTCAAAAAGAGTTTTACCAGCTAAAAATTTAAATTCCATCGAATCTGACAAGAGTAACTTAAAAAATGATAAGAGTCCATGCTATTTAATAGTCCTCTCAATGCCGAAAGGAGGCTAATGCAATTCAAGCGATTCAAGCGATTCTAACAATAACTTGGTAAAACATTTTCGCAAAACTTAGGCAAAATTAGTATCAATATCGTAATTAAAATATAGAATCGTAAACGATGCTTGTAAAATTTTATTTAAACGCTGAAAGAAGTAGAATTTTTAAAGTGTCCTTGAAAGCTGGATATTGCAGGATAGACTTCCTTTTCGAGAAACTGGGTCACTTGCTGAGGAGCACAACCAATAAACGACTTGGGATTAAGAAGCTCTTCCAGGTCATTATGAATGGGTTGGAAGTAGGAAGAGTGTCTAATTCTTTCGACTAAATCATTCTTGCGGCCGTGAATCTTTACTTGTTCAGCTGCTTCCCTAGACAGGAGCCTAAGTTGCTCGTGACAAGTCTATTATAGACAAAATAAGGAGACCATGAAAGCTCTGAGCGTGTAAGTCACGCTACCTGCCGGTTTTCGCCCTTCCGCACCATCGCCATGAGAATGTTCTCGGTGGCCATGAAGGGCAGCTCATCGAGAATGTGTCGCTCGATGACTTTAGGGTAGACTACGAGCCCCTCAAAGATGCTCTGCAGAGTGTTTAGGGCAATGTCTGTGCATAGAAAGGCCTCGGGAAGACAAAGCCTGCGATTAGCGCTGTCGTCCAACGAGCCTAAAGCAGTAGTGAGAAGAGCACGCGTTAGGACCCACGAAGGAACCCCAACTTACGCTCCAACCATTGGGCCGCAGCCGTGGCCATCGGGTTCTGTGCCAGGCTCATCACGTATCTGGCCAGAGAGCAGCACCTCTCGCTTCGCATGGGGTTGCGTTTGTACGCCATCGCGCTACTGCCAACCTGCTCCCACAGAAAAACGTGGGTTGGACGAGAAAGGAGGAAGAAGGAAGAGGCAAGGTAGTATTAGCTTGTTCGGGGCCAGCGGGCTCCTCCATTTCCTTTAGGTGGCTTAAAAGCCGGAGATCTGTCGCTGCTTTATGAACAGACACGCCAATCCCTGACCGGCCCGGAATAAGAAGGGAGCATGTCTTTTAATTATTAGTAGCTACCAGCAAGGGCAGAAAGGAGCTCATAGTCGATCTTTCGAGGGTAAGTCTGACCACATATAATAAAAGAAGCCTCAAAACCAGACAACTTAGTTACAATTTCGTCAAGTCTGAGGGAAAAAAAATTAGCCGGGAAATCAAATAAAATAATAATATAAATAGTCAGCTGCACTTTTCCACTTTGGAATGGTCGCCCTCAAAAAGTTGTAGAAAGGAAGCTTGCGTACCAGTGGTGCCTTTAACCCCACGGAAGTGCAGGCCGTTGCGTACGTGTTGTAGAAGCCTAAAGTCGCTCAGGAGATCCTGGATCCACAGACAGCAACGCTTGCCAACAGTTGTAAGCTGGGCCGGCTGAAAATGGGTGAAGCCAAGAGTCCCTAGTTCGCGATACTCCACCGCAAACTTGCACATCTGGTCAAGTAGGCTAAAAAAATAAAATTACTTTCTAGTCTATAAAGTAAAAAGTTAAATTAACCTAGCAAGTCGCACTAGCAATAAGTCTAAGGCGTCTCGAAAAATTATAAGATCGGCATTATCACCCACATAACAAGAAGTGGCTCCTGGGAGACATAAAGTAAAGCATAATATATATTTTTATATCATTAAGTTTAAAATATTAAGACCCAAATGGATTATAGGAGCGGCCTTTGGAGCCACTTGGCCAAATGCATAAACGTGGGCCATCACATCGTGCCTCCTTTTTAATTCCTTCATAAAATTTATCTCCTCTTAAAGATAATAAGTGGTTAGTAAGACAATAATAACCTCCTCTGCTATTAAATTGTAATCTATGTTGTTAATATTCGCTTCTAACTCTTTTAACTGCTCATCTGTTATTGGTAATCCAAGTTCTTTTTCTGCTTTGGCCAAAAAGAACCACAATTTTCTCCACGTTTTATACTTTTTGCTGTCAGAAAAATTTTTGGACATTTCCTCACAGTTCCATCTATCACCCAGAGGGGAGTAATAACGTTCATGCTTATCCGATTCTAAGAAAAAAAAAATGGATTTAAAAGAGAAAGAGGGTCATGCTTTGCAAGTAATAAAGAACGCATAATAACACTCAGATGACACGCAAATAATTTTCAAACATACATATTTGAATTTGGAAATATTAAAAGAAAGTCCAAATCAATAGTTTTTATCGTCACAGCGCAATTTACAAACAACTATACAGATACACAACAAAACCACTAATGCAGGCCATTTAGCTTTTGACCTAGTACTACTGTAAAAGGCACCATATCGTAGTTTCTCACATGTGAAACAGAACAAACCCTCTTTCTTTATTGCCTCTTCTGCATAAGCACTCAGACCGTTTGGCACAAAAACTTAACAGCATCCATACGTACAGGAAAAAAATAAATCCTGAAGGAATGCAGCTACATAATGTAATTTTTTTGTAAACAAATAGGATAATTTGTTTTTAATTTGGTCATACTTAATTGTACTACAAAACTTACAAACTTTACTTCTTTCAAATGTCTGGTTTATGTTTCTTCAGCGCAAAAATATGTTCATTTTTTACTCACGCAGGATTATATAAAAACACTAGCCTTTTTGACCACAATATACCTTACATAAAATAATTATATTTTTCCTTCACGATCTGATTAAAATGTTTTGTTTTATAAGGAAGTATTTTCAAGCTAGTTCTATATTTTTTAACCTTAACTCTTAAATTTAAATAAAAAACGATAATGGTGGATGTTGCATACTGAAACTCATAAATTAGTAGAATTTGGCAAAAAAGACCAGTTTAAATAAACCATGGGGTGTTTTTATAAAAATTAAAATCCGAGTCTGTTGACATGGGATTAAGACCTTCTTGGTTACTTTTAAAAAAAAGAATTGTTTGCCTTTCCGATACCATGAAGCCTTTTTAGGCTTTTCCTCCTTTTCTAATTTTTTTTTACTTTATTTATGGACTTATTGGTAATCTTCTAAGCGATAATTATTATATGCAAAGTTGGGAGCTTAAATTAGGTAAGGAAAACAACTGGGCGTTTCCAAATAAAAATTTAACTTGTACTTGAGGACACTAAACCCGTCCGAGTATTCGAAGTTGGCTGAAGAGCCATGGTTTATTTGCAAAGCTTTATTAGTAGTATTTAATATTCTAAATACTATTAACTTTGTTTGTTACCTTACGTAGTCATGTGTACCTTTGCTCAGCAGATTGCTTAAATTTTTTGCGCACTTTGTAAGTTAGATTGAATAAAAAACATCGTTCATGCTGAGTAATAAATTTTAAAAGCCTTACCGAACTCCTATTATGAACAAGTTAAAGTTTAATTACTTTAAAAGGGTTCTAACAACTTGCAATTAAATTTTTGTATTAAGACACTCACACCGCAACCATCTATAAAAACAATTTATAAATAAGAAAAACGGCATAACAAATAGAGCCTGAAAAAGCACAGCTAGAATTTTTATTAATAACGACGTTATCACCATGTTTGACAATGTATGTATCAGGTGTATATAATTACGAAAGCTCTCGTAAACACTATAAATTTATTCTAAACTTTACCGCTGTAATTGGCTTACAAATGTTCCAAGGCAAAGGGCACAAGCGTTTTCCTCACATTTTTAAACGTAACGTAAAGCGTGAATTTCTTCCAATTTATTATAATAATAACCCTCACGCTTGAGACTTAAAGCACAAAGTTACTAAAAAGTAGTAACATTGTCTGTTCTATAGAAGCTGTAAAGTTCACAAACACGCACCCAAAAGTATACGTCCAAAAAAAGTAACCAAATTTGAGTTATTTATAGTTCGCATGTGACTCACGTATTATGGAAATAATCTCGAATTTCAGTGCACTTTATACTTTCCGCTTTAAGCATATTGAACTAAAACTAGTTAAGCTAAAATAGCTAATAAATAGGGCAAACTTTATTTTATTAAAAAGGCAATATTCACTAAAGGCAATTATGGTTATAAGGAAGTACAAATAAAAATTGAAACAAATAAAAAAACTTAACTATATATAAAAAAATCCAATTAAACAAAAAAAGTTATATTATCTTTAAAGCATTTTAATGTATTCAGCAGAAACTTTTCTTTCCAGAAGCTCTCATCTTCATCTTCAATTTCGATCCAATACTGAGTGACCTGGGAGGGGGCCTCCTCCCCAACTTTCCGCAGTGCAGTTTTTGCCGCCTCGACTTTGGCCAAAGCGGTCCTCCACTAAGCAAATTGAACCCGTCGCCATTTTCTTTCGTTTTCGGTGAACTTACATGGCAGTATCGTGTTAATTATTGCCTTTTTATTACTTTATTGTTTACAAAATCAAGTAAAAATCTTATAAAATCTATTTTTCATGATATCTCTACCTTCTCTCAATCTCTCTGTCTTCCTTATCAAAGCGGCTACCTCTCCCGTGCCTTCTTTTCCCCGCTTTAGCTCTTCTGGGCTGAGATCGTTTTCTAGACGAGGCCGCCAAGCAAACTGGCATAGTTTCGAGACGGGACCCGATGCAACAGCCATCCTTGGTTCGTCCAGAGATAGTATCCGTGCTCTGTCTATAGTTTTACTTCAAGCTAGCTATAAAAGATAACAATATATAATAATAAAGTGGTTTTACAGGTTCCGATCAAGCGCTAACATTAGTGGCTACATAGCGGCCAGTGGGACCCCACTCAACTCTGCTAGCCAAATAGTGTTCGCCTGTAAAGAGTAAAATAATCAATTCTTTTAATCAAACGAGAGAGAAAAAAACAAGAGAAACCCTAATTGAGACGGGTGGCAGAGTCAGCGACCCGAAACTCCAAGGGTCGGTTGGCCCAGTACAGATTGGCAAGGACAAACCTACTGCCTTTAGAGACCCGCCACCGTACGAAAAGGTCTCAGCTCTATAAGAACTTCATATAGAGATATTAAAAAAAAGTATATTACTATAAATATACAAGAGTTATTAAAAGAGACGTGTCACTTGATTAATACCGCTCTGCCGCCTTTCATAGTGTGCACAGTGGCGATCAAGGAATTCTTCTGGCGGCCGTGAATAACAACAAACCAATGTCCATATGGCTCCCATGAAAAGTCGTACACCGGCTCTTAATAAAAAGGTTCAGCAACCACGTGAATGCGGCACTGACGAACCATTGATCTCGAGGGTGTCAACTGGTAACGACTTTTTATGAACTCGAAAAATTTCGAAAATAGTAAGTTCTTTTCCCTACTTCGATTTAGCGTCGACATTTATGCAAAGATAAATAGCCTTCAAGATAATAATTTTAAATAATATTTTATTATTAACTTAAGCTAAAAATGTAAAGAATAAACCATATTTATGCCAGTGCATAGTTGCATGCTCAATATTAAACGAATTCTTCGAAGGGGCTATTTGCTTCGAGGGGAATTCCAGTAAAGCAACTCTCGCTGGATGGAGATCTTTTTCAGGCACCCAAAAGGCTAAATGGTGAACGGCAGATGAGCAATTGAAACTATAAAGAGAATAATAATATTAATAATAATAATAATAACGAAGCCTCTCTGAGTCCCTCAACCAATATAGTTTTCTTTTCTCCTTTTACCAAAATTTTCATGGAAGGAGTTTCGTAAATAGTAATATAATTCTTAATATAAGTTAATCCATTCCGTCCTTAAATAAAAAATAGAGTGACAAAAGTACGTCTCCAGGCCGAAAAACATATTCATCATTGTGATCCACTTGAAGCTGGGCCAGTTGAACTCCTTACAGCTAAATACAAAAGTAAAAAAAAAAAAATTTAAAAAAAAGCACTGTGGAGTCTATAAAACTAAAAGCAGAAACCTTTTTGAAACCCCCGAAGTTTGGCGCCTGTTCGAATATCCCAAATGACAATCGCCTGCAGATGTAGATATTGAACAGAACAGGGTTGAACGCTATTAGAAAGTGTACACGGGGAATGTCTCTGTCGTCGACGATCTCATTATCGCAGGTGACATTAACTTTTCATAAGGCGAAAAGTCTAGAAGATGAACGCCTAGGAACGTTATAGTTAAGGTTGTAATGCTAAAAAATTTTATATAAAAAATTTAAGGTCCATGTACCAAACCGCTGAATTTTTTTCCAAAATTCGCCGCCCCAAAAAGCGATGCCCTGCTGGTGCACAGTGGCCAGGAAACTCTCTATGGGGGGACCTATTAATAGAGAAACTGCTGCATAAAACAAGTAAATTGTACTTTTTAAAATGAAAGCGACAAGCAACGTATGATCACGTTCTATGCAGAATTTTTTTTTAACATTTTCGTTAAAAAAAAGATTTTACAAGGATATTTAAATATATATAGAAAACTCAGTTAACTTGTTCGATTCCTTTTTTTTTGTATTGAGCTGTTAGGGTATTTAAACCTCTACTGACCGGTGTCTAAACCTTTAAGCCCTTTAACATTAATTGTAATCAAATGTATATATATATATATAGATGTACAGATGTGACTAAAACAAAAAAAGCACTAAAAAATTAACATGACTGTCAGTATACTTTTCGTGAACCTTCATTATATACTAACCACAAAGCAATGAAATAATAAATGACAATCATAAAATTGCCTAAAAATGGTAATTTGCCTTAAAACTTATGAACTGGGATCTTTTCCTCAACCTGAGCAAAGGTGCTCGGCACTAATGTAATACCCGAAAAACTGTAATGACGCTTAAAACACTGATTGTGAGAGTATTGTGGAAGATAATTCCGCATATGGTGCTCATTTTAGGTAAAAAATTACAACTCTGTGGAATTTTATATAGACTGAGCGGCCTAATTTTAGAAGTAGAGCCAGGGAACTCTCAGTCTGCTTACAATGTTTAACAAGTTTGGGTTATGGCCATAAAAGTTGCTTAATCCAGTTCTTGGTAGAATCACTTTATAATATAATACAAGTAGAGAAAAGAAGCTAACTTCATAACTCTTTTTTACTTTAGACCTTAAAAGTGTAGATTTTATTTACCTTTAACTAAGTAAACTACTATAATAACATGTTCGTATAAGTAGCTTCCTGTAAAGCTATGCAAGAAAATAATGATTCAGAGGAATACTTTAAACGTATACGGTAATAATAATACTCGTATTATAGTTGTATCTATATAAAACCTATCGATTGCAGTGCTAACTATATCTATATGCGGATGGCGTTTGTAGTCTAGGTAGCAGAAAAGTGCTGATAGCATTTGAAACTATATTTATGTGACGTGGACCCACATTTTCAAGGCCTATTTTGCTGCTATATTATTCCTAGAACGGCAATG